CATATCACCAGTAGGTTGAGGGCGATCCACCTTCAGGTTCTAGGGTAATTACAAATGCCCCACTTGTTGCCCTGTTGGTTCAACTCTGAATCTTAAAAAGTTATCCTTTAAGGATCATTACGGAGAATACACCTGCACTTATCGGTTGATTATTGATTACAAACCATAATTGATAATCTTTAGATTCGAGTACGGTTGGTAAATTTGCAACTTGAAGAAGTGCTTGGCCATTATCTTTATCCCAAACTACTTTACCATAACCATTAGGATTCACATTTAGGCCATCCATCAGTATCAGATCAACATCGCGAGCTTCAAGGATTGCAAGTAATTCTTCTTTTCGTTCTACTTCTGTTTCTAACAGCTGAATAATTGGTTTGTTGCTCTGCAATCACAGTAGAACGTTCATCTAAATCGTTTTCTGGTACGATTGAAAATGGACATCTGGTCATCATCATAAATACAACGGCTGCGGCAGCTGCAATTCTATATCTAGATAAGTAATGTACACTTGCCCCTGCTGAGCCTCGTGAATGAACAGAAGCCCAAGCCATTTCTAAAAGTTGTTCTTTAACTTTCTCAGATGGTTTATCAGTATAAGCCAATAAAGCCATCTCAGAAGCTATGTGCTGCATATCTTGATACAATAACAGCTGTTCTTCTGAGGCATCCTCTAAAAGAATTTTAAACTGCTTTTCTTCTTCAGCACTAAGTGCATTCAATACGGACCTATACATAGCTCTTCAAATAATGTGTTTTCTGATTCACTCATGCTAAGCCTCCCGATAAAATTTCTCTAAGTTTTAACATACCATCACGCATTCGGGATTTTACGGTTCCCAGTGGAATATCTAATTGTTCTGAAATCTCAGTTTGTGTTAATCCATCAAAGTAAGCCACTTGCAGTACGGTTCTTTGTTTTCAGAAATCTTAGCTAAAGCCTCTTTCAGCATACTAGCACGATCTGATAAAATAGCATCCTCAAGTGGATTATTCTCCTCTGAAAATAAAGGCATATAAGTGTCTTCGTTATCTAAGCTCGTAGACTGCTTTTTGCTCCTTATATACTTTGGACCTCAATCTGTCGATTCCTTTATTTCTTGTTAAAGAAAATCCATGTATAAGCGCTACCTTTTTCTGGATCATATTGATCCGCTTTTTCCCAAATATTTGTAAATACTTCCTGTAAAATATCTTCAGCTTCTTCTTTTTTTTAGTATCGAAACTAAAAGTCCAAAGAGTAATCTATTATACTGGTCATACAAAAGGGATAGCGGGGTCTTTAGCCGCTATGCGAATTAAGAGTTCTTTATCTCTTGAATTATCCTGATTGAGAAATCTGCCAATTGCAGATATAAGAAAAATAGCATATATCTTGTTTCTGAGTAAGTACGAATGTGGGTAACAATTAGATTGTTAGATAATCAAAATTATTACTCAATCATTCAGCATATAGCTTCTCTCTTAACTCTTTGGCAGAATAAAATGGTTTGTCGCAGCTGTAGTTAGAGCAATAATAGATCGTCGTTTTACCATCAACAGGATGCATATTCGAGGAAAAAGGAGCAAGTGTTGACAACGATTTATTTTCGGTGCTTTTGCGATACTGATTTTAAAGGGGGTTAAAACCAGAGCGAAGTATTTTAAAAGCTCATTATCAAAATCCAGAGCTTTTTCTGAGCTAATAACGATTTCATTTGTGCTAGCATGAGCGTATTGAATAGCTTGCAAACCAAGGGTAATACTTGAACCAGATCGAATTAAATCGGTTGAAAACATTCACCAATTTTTGAGCAAATTCTTCAAAATTCGAATCACCTGTTAGCCTTGATAGCTTCATCAGGTTTTGCATGGCTACAGAATTGGAGGAAGGAACAGCAGCATCATAAATCTGCTTCTGGCGACCTAATAATTCCTCGGTCTTAGTATCGGTTAAGTAAAAGCCTCCTTGCTCTGAATCCCAGAATAATTCAATCATCTGATTTTGTAGCAGAATGGCTTTTCTAAATACTGCTCATCATAGGTTGCCTCATAGAGTTCAATACTTGCCCAAACTAACATCGCATAGTCATCCGCAAAGGCATTTATTGCATGTTCACCTTCTTTATAGCGATGAAACAATTGATTCTCGACATATAAGTTATTCAAGATAAAGGCATAAGCTTTTTAGCTTTTTCAATAAACATGGGTTCCTGTAAAACAGCACCTGCTTTAGCATAGGCCATGATCATCATCCCATTCCAATCGCAGAGTATCTTATCGTCAAGAAGTGGTTTAATGCGCTTCTCTCGAATTTCATATAGCTGTTCCCTTATGTCATTGAACCGAACTTGATTGCTTTCATTTAAAGTCGTTTTAAGTGAGGTATGTTCGCACCCGTTTTAACTTTAGTGGCCTCATCTTCAAAGTTTCCTTCTTCTAAAATTTGATAGTATTCCGTAAAGAACGCAGCATCTTCTTTAGATAAAACTTTTTGTATTTCGGAAAGGACCAAACATAAAACTTCCCTTCTTCACCCTCGCTATCAGCATCTTCTGCACTGAAGAATGCACCTTCCCTCTGAAGTTAATTTGTTGGTTATATATTGATCTAATTCAACAATGGTTTGCTTAAAGAGGTATTTGATACTTGCCATCCCTCGGTATAAGCCAACATCATTAATGCTTGGTCATACAGCATTTTTCAAAATGTGGTAGTAACCATTCTTGGTCGGTTGAATAGCGATGGAAACCATAACCAATATGATCCCAAATACCACCTAATCTCATTTGAGTAAGTGTATGTTCAACAGCATTTTGAATCGTTCTTCTTTGGTGGTGTACCATTTTCGAAGTAAGAAACTCAAATTGTGTGGCGATGGAAATTTAGGAGCACTTCCGAAACCACCATGTTGATCGTCATATCTTGCGGCTAATTGTTCGGCGGCATAATCAACTCTAAACCAGGGAATAATCCCTGTTCAAATTCTTGGGATCTTTGAAATCCATCTTTAATCCCTTCTACAGCTTTTTGCACCTTAGCAGGTTCGTGCTTCCACATGCCGGTAATACCAGGAATTAACTGGCGTAAACCAATGCGGTTAAATCGCGCTTCTTTTGGTATGTAAGTACCGGCAAAAATGGTTCTTTATCAGGTGTCATGATGATACTCAAAGGCCAACCGCCATGGCCATTTAGCATCTGGCACACCGTCATAAGTGGAATCGATATCAGGGCGCTCTTCCCGATCTACTTTAATATTGATGAACGCTTGGTTCATGAGCTCAGCTATGCCTTCATCTTCGAAACTTTCGTGCTCCATCACGTGGCACCAGTGGCAGGTAGCATAACCGATAGATAAGAATCGGTTTGTTTTTCTTTCGCTTTAGCGAATGCTTCATCACCCCAAGGTAATCAACGGGGTTATTTTTGTGCTGAAGGTAAGGGCTCTTTTCGTGCTGTAATCGATTCAAGGTCGGTAGGTTTCACATAATTGTTGCTGAAGACCTAAAATACACAATTACGAAGAAAATAAGGTAGGAGAGGAGAGGAAATGAACTTAGATCACTAAACGTAAACTTGTACGTTCCATGCGAATCTGTTTTACCTTGAACTTCTCAGAGTCAAAGCCTTTGAGTTCTTTTCACTGTTCTTTATGAACAAGCTGTTTCTATTATTTTTAAGTAAAGCTTTACATCACCCGATTCGTAAAATGCCTCAGAAACAATAATTTCCTTTTCACTAGCTACATCCACCAAACGTGACGCGATGTTAACTGTGGTACCGAAGTAGTCTACTCTATCGTTTAAGTTTAACTGCTGTACACTTCCCTAAATGAATTCCTGCTTTGAGTTTGAACGAGTCACCCATTGCGGTTGAAGATGAGAAAATTTGCTGAATACGTTCTACGGCTTTAAGAGCAGAAACAGGTTCTTTAAACACGGCCATAACAGCATCGCCAATTGTTTTTACGATTCCCCCACGTTCCTCAGCAACAATCTGTTGAATGATTTTAAAGTGACTCATTAACTGACCGATGGCAAACTCATCACCTTCTTGTAAGTATAGGTCGGTAGAGATTCACATCAAGTCAGTAAATAGAATCGTGACATTCGAAGAATCGACTTTAGCACCATCTTTTTAAAGTCTCTTGAGCAAATACCCACAGCCAACTAGTGAGTGCATCATTTTGCAAACAATTACATGAAAAGCAACAATACAAATGGCAAAGCTAGTATCGCTAAAAAGACACAAGGGCGATAACATTCCAACGTCACTTTGTATGTTTGCATCAAATCCCTGTGCTTTCAACAGTCTGGCATTGGGATGTGATGTGGCAATCAGGCACAGTTGAAGGATGCAAACGTGCAGTTAAAGGGAATACCGCGATGCCTGCGGAAGCAATGAAACATTTCATCAATACCAACGATGATGATCTTTTCCGCATCACCAAAAGCTTAGACACAAACAACGGGTGAAAGTACAAAAGTGAAAGCTGTCCGCAAACTCGATATTGCCCAAGGCAAGGCAATTGGGAACTGGATTTTTGGAATACACGCACATCCTTGGTATTGCTGCTCCCCAATCTTTGTGAATCCACAACATGAAGGAATCCCTGTTGCCAGTGTTGCTGGTTGCATCACAGCAGATTAAAGGAAGGAGCCCAACTTCCATTCAGTTCTTCTCGTTTGCTCTAAAGCAGGCAAGACTGGCTGTGGTTTCCGGACGGTTCCTGCATGCTCCACATCTTCAAATAACTCGTTGCTCAAATAGAGCGTACTTGCTCAGCTTGGTCACACTCGCCCATGCACCGCCCTGGCGCCTTCCAGGAGCAGGGCTGGGACTGGACTACCTGGGCTGGTTGCCTTTTCCCTTTGTCTATTTTTTTGGAGCCTTCTGCCTTGTTCCCATTCTTCCAGGTATTATATGAGATGCAGAATTCTGGGAAAAGGGGGGCCGTTCACCTGTATTGCTGGTGACCGCTGTTTGGGCAGGACCACCAGGTGTACACTCTGCCCCTGCCCCGCTGGAGCTGGTCTGCTTCTCACTGACAACGCGCTGCACATCCTCCTCTCCTTGCCAGTCGTCCATGTTTGGTGCCGTGGGCACCAAGTGCTCACCCACAGCCTTCTGACATGCCGTACACAGGCCCTGAGAGCCAGCAAAGAGGCAGCATGCAGCGGCGTTCACCACTATCGGGTTGTCAACCAAATGGAACAGCCGCTCTACAACGTACAGGGAGCACACTGGCCTTACAGCACCACTGCGCTTGACATTCGCACCTGCACACACAACAGGGCAGATGGGTGGGTCAGCTCGTTTGAGCACATGCTTGGTGAAGTATGTTAACAGAGTGTCAATTGGCATCAACTTTAGAAGATGATGGATATGTGTTCCATTTGCAAGCTTTGCTTCTGATTGTTTGCTTATCTCAATGGAGCCAGCAATTCCATCGATCGGAGAGGGTTTCAATCCTGTATTAGGCATGTGCACTGCAAAATCTTGGCAGCCAGCAGATTGTGGGCAGAGGTGCAGCCAGCCAGCACACAAGCAGTATTCGAATGTGGTACGCATCTTGAAACTTTGGGATGCAGGAGTGGTAATGCAGGCAAGGGTGGGATATTTGTCACTGACTTGATGGGACAAAAGCTAGGACAGCAAGTGACGAATGTAGGAAGATGCATACCACAGTCTGGGGCCATGAAGCATAGCAGACTGGTCAATACACCATCTATGTGCAGCCAGAGTGTGGACTTCGGCAGAGCAGGAGGTCGGATCACTTGGCGCATAGCAACAGGAACTGGAGTTTCTCGGTTCAAACGCACCCTCAGAAGGTCTGTTGGTAAGTGCGCTCTGGATAGGGATGTCCAGCAGAGGCCAAAGGAGCACCGGGCCAACGAAGTATTCCCAGAGCGCTCTTGAGAGCTCGACACCCATTTTCTCTGACCCTGTGGGGCCACAGTAGCCGATACTTTAGTTTCCGGTTACCCAAGAGCTGAGCAGCAACAAGCAAAGCACACGGTGCAAATGCAGAGCACCGCAACAACTGTCAAATGTCAAATTACATGCATGCAGGGCTAAGGTCCCCCTTTTCCTCACACAGTTTGGGAGCTATAGGGGGAGACCGCAACAACTGTGAATGCTGTTCAGCAACAAACACCAGATTGTGGATGTGTGCGATGTCCTTGCTACATTTTGTTCCCTGCAGTCGTGAAGCCTTCTCATTTGAGAGTGAACTCGGCCCATCTGATCTCCCTTCTGCAATCGTGTCATGTTGGGTATCAAATGGCAAGCAAGACAGGCAACAGCCAGGCACTACCTGCACTGTTTTGTTCAAAGCTTTCTACAAAGACCACAATTCAGAGGGGAAACATACATGGAATCAGTATTCCCATCTTCGATCCGTTTGATTACAACCCTCTGAATCATGGGGCTAATCAACAGTTTCAGTGCAAGACCAGCATTCTTACATAGGAAGCAGAAAATTGCAAGCAAGAAAAAAGCAATCAGCTCTCAGACAAGCATTTGCATGCCAGCAATTCCCGTAATAAATACTTGAGAAAATCTACTGCAACTATATTTGTTGTCGTTGGACTGGGGGCCGATCTTGCAGCTACTGGCCTGTGATGATGGCCCATGACTGCACCTATGATAAGTGAACTGAGCAAAAAACTCATTAGCTTTCATAGTGGCATTCCTGCAACTTCATTCATCAATACAAGCAAATTCAATTTCAGTGTGTTACATTCTTTGCTACAAATTGTCAGTCAATGAAGTAGTGCAGCTGTTCTGAGTTAAGCCTTGGATACAGATATATCACCCCAACAGATGCATCTACAGCCTTGTCACACCCGCAAGTTCTTGCACACTGTTGTCCTGCAATACAGGCAACCCCCAATCCACAATGCCCACAAACCCAGGCCTATGGTGGATGCAGCCTTCGGTATTACACAACGATCATGTACTTGAAGGAAACGCAATAGCAAAAGTGCATTTTCCACCCCCAAATCAGCAAAACTAAGGTTCGGGTGCTGTGTTCATCGAAACATAAAAGTTCGCCTCAACACAAAGCATGCAGCGGGCCGAAACATCAAGTGGCTGATCAGCACATTCGCACCTGTGGACAGAATGTCATTGAAGTAGGACAGCGTGTCCTCTATTTCTGCCAGTTGGCTGTCCAAGGCACCGATGGACGAATTCTTGCCCTTCTCTGCAGCTGAGAGCATGAGATCGAGCACCTGGATGGCATGAGCACACAGATCAGAAGACTCTCTACAAGTTGGATTGCAAGTCATGCATGACCCTGATGTTCTGATGCATGTAGTTTGATGGGCCATCATGCTTGTCCTCGTGGACAACAAGCAAGATGGTGACCAACACCTGCCATTAGGTATTGGTCAAGTATTCGATCCACTATTGAATGAAACAACAAATATCTCTGAGACCCCTCCTGGGGATCCTCAAACAGCACCATTTCTGAAGGTGGCTGCCGATCTGGCAGTAGGAATGGCAATTATGGCATTTGCTCCCAGAGATAGCAGGGTTTGTGGAAACGAACACTCTGGCATGGGCCCAGGGAACCCCAATGGACACATTCAGCAGGTGAGACATGCACAAAGCTGTGTCTGATCGCACTACAGTATTTACGTCATAATAAGATGCGCTACTCTTCTGCACAACCAAAGTCTATTGATGCCAAAGTCCAAAAGAAGTCCATAGCAAACCATTGGAGTTATATATGAAAGGGTGGAATGTGCAAAAATGAACAAATAGACAATGGATGCCAAACACAACACATAAAATGCTCATCATCTTCCTTGAGGCACAGGGCCTTTGTCATCACACCAAAACAAACGTGACCAGAACGATTTGTTAATCACACATTGCCGCCATTTTGTGCCTGAAAAGCCACTCTGTGCATTTGGGAATGTCTTTGACATCTTTCTATGCTGCCTTCGATGCCTAACAGCCACCAACAGCAACGCATGGATGCTGAATACAAAGAAATCCATCCTGATTTCTGTTCTACCATCACAGCAACAGCAACGAACCAGAGGACATCTGTTTGCTTCCATGTAATCAAGATCGGCATGAGCAGTCAGCGTGACATGAGGCAGTAACCAGGAATTTCCCATACCACTCATTGCCATTGAGTCTGTAAATTGCAAGGACCTGCCTGGGGACGCCGTCAAGCCTTCACCCCCCCGACATACAAACAGGACATGCACACTTTCGAATTGTACATGCCCATCATGATCGCAAGGTACAAGGGCTTGAATTTCTCAACGACTGCCAGCAAAATGTGATCCACAGAATCGACCACAGCCAGAAGGCAGAGCAAAACTTCTATTCACCACATTTACCACAAACACATGACAAACGAGGCCATTCCACCTGGGAGGGATGACGGCAACTACGTGCAAACCAACATCCCACCCTTCCTTGTTCGGTCTGCCTTGATCACACCAACCAGGCCCAAGGCCCATGTTGTCCAGTCCACTGGGAAATGCCCACTTAGGCATTTATCAGGCCCCCCATCCCCACCCATCCCCTCCAAAGCCGCCCAAGCCCCACCTGACACTGCTCCGTGGCGTACAGCGCCAGCTCCGTGAAGTAGTTGCTGGCGGGCTTGGCCACAACGAAGTCCTGGATCAGGGGGTCCTGGACGTTGAAGACGTTCAGGGTGAGGGTGCGCACAGCCGCCCGCACCATCCCCTCCCTGTGGTTGATGAACTTGGCGGCCTCGGTGTACAGCGGGAAGGAGCAGGCCCCCCCATCCTGCTTGAAGAAGAACTGCACCGTCTTGACGTTGAGCTTGAGGCTGATCGTCTTCAGGAAGGATATGTAGTAGCCCAGCACCTCCTCGTCGTTGAAGTCGAAGGCCAGCTGCACGATGTCGTTGATGTGGTTGTTGCTGAAGATGTAATATACCGACGTCTCGTTGCGAAGGTTCTGAATCATGATGCTCAGCGTCTGCAGGACCTGCACCAGGGGCGCGCAAAGCTCATCACGCCCCCAGCCCCTCCCCCCTGCCACGCGACAGGGCGGCGATTCGCCCCATTGGCAAATCCGATCAATCCCTGCTCCTTCTCCCCCTCCCCACACACACACCTGCTTGGCCACGTCCCCCCGCCTGTTGTCCCGCCCGCGCAGGATCTTGTGGAAGTGCGCCAGCGCCTCGTGCTCCAGGAAGTACTCGAAGAACCGCGGCTCGTGCTGGTCTCCCCATATCATCAGCTCCGCAATGGACCGCAGCGTCTCCACGATGGCCTCCCGGTTGCCGGGCCCGATGACCGGGTTCTTCTCCAGCACCCCCACCAGGTGCTCGAGCTCCTCGAGAGAGAACCGCTCCCGCGGCCTCCCCCCGAACCAGTTCCAGACGCTGCGCCTGGACATCCGCCGGCGCGCCCACCCCCCCCGCGATCAATCGTCTCCGACCTCTCGCTCCAGCCGCACCAGGAAACGCCCCGTCGAGCCGCCAATCCCACCCACCCCCCCTTTCCCCTTCGCCGTTGAGATGCGCCCTCTCGTTCGGGCGCCTAGCTCCGGGCGGTTTGGACCGGTCCGACCGAGTCCCTGGGGCTTGGGACTTTGTCGGTGGCCGGCAGGGGGATGCTGAGCAACTGGGTGAGCTGGGTGGGTGTGGGCAGATGGGCGGAGGGTGCGGGTCATCGGAGGCCGGAGGCGGATGGCGTGAGAAGGCAGGGGGGCCGCGGTGTGTTGCTGCGGTTGGGGGGGGGGGTGATCCTGGGTGGGCGGAGTTTTTTGGTCCCATTTTGGGACTGGGGGAAGACCTCAACGAACACCTGCCCCGACCGATCGGCTAGCAATTGTCGGGAAACGAAATACGCATCACAGGTGGAGAAGCGGAATTGTGAGGGAGGCAGCTTCCATCTTTCGTGTCATTTGACCTCTGATGTTCACACCTGCTCGAGCGAGCTCCTTGACGCATTGTTTTTGGCCAATAGCAAGCAGCCATTATTTTCATTTCTGTTCTTCCTGCGTTTCTGCAGCATCAGAACGCGTTTGATCCCTTTCTGATTGAATCACCTACCCTATGCATGGAAAAGAAATTCTGAAACAAAAGAAATGCAAATCAACAGAAGCACGCCCTTTGCAAGATTTGTTCTCCATCCGTTGGAAGGCAATGTTTGGCAGCATTGAAGTGGCTGCCCCTACGCTGTGGTGGCTCAACAGATTCGCATCACATTTAACTTGTTTTCAGCGTGAATCCCGCTGTGAATGTTCACCATCTCATTGGTCTTGTTGGAAAGCCGCATGCTCTTTTGTTATCCAGAAAGGATGGTCTCAACCATGCTCCTAGTACTTCGACTTCAAATCTGAACATGAGCGTGACGGTTTCGCAGGACACCACAGATATCCGATGGGTTACTGCACGTCTGCACGTAGCTTAAGTCCATCTTGGACCAACTTGGCCCCACGTATATGGGACCGGCCTCAGCGAGCTGCTCCGGACTCGGCTGTGCATTGATCGTTTTGACGGAGGTGTGATTGGAACAGGCTTCAGCCCGTCACAGGCCCCGAAGCACTCGCGATTTGCACCTCAGAGATGGCATGTTCATTCCACGGGTGAGCGAAGACTGACCTTCGAAAATCACCTGGAGTGCACAGTAGCCGCTCGGGAGGTACACAAATCTGCGGCTAAAAGCATGGCGCATTGTTTCTGGTTTCCAGAGACGCCTGTTGGCTAGTTTTGACTCTGGCGCAAGCCACGTGTAATTGACACTACTGATTGGATAATCGCAAACTGCGTAGCGTTGCGCAGTGGGGCCGGCAATGGGGCCTTAATTCAAGGTTGTGAAAGCAGAGCTAGCTAGCTCTGCTTTTATGACCTTGAAGTACGGCGCCATTATCGAGTGATGGAAGCAGACAGCTCTGTCGCTTGTTGCACCTGACTGTGGGCTCACATCCACCAGAACTGTCGATTAAATCACTCATCATTTAAGGTGGTCAGAGGTGGAAAGAGATGGTGAATTTTTTCACAGCCGACAACTCACTGGCTTTATCGCATTTCAAGCTCATGTGAGCTCAACACCAATTTGGTGTTCGGTTTTTGAGAGAATTGCCGCCAGCGGCCGTCGCGTTCAATGCCGCTCTTAAAAGAAGTTCATTATATGCAAAGGTATGTTTGTTGAGGTTAGTCAGCATGTGTCCACGCGAACATGTTCCAAACAGCACCACTAGTGCTTTGGAATTTCAGATCGCACGGAGGTCAAAGTGCACTACGTCGTCTTGCAAGTCAGTCAAATAGCCGAGATTGTGAGAATGGCCATTTAACCGGCAAATTGTCGGTCATTGTACAAGCCTTGATAGCCATCGCGACATGTCACCTCTCGTGGACACAACACCAGATTGCGTTGGCACAGGAATCCAGACCCGTAATTTGTTTATCATTGTGAAGCTGTTGGTCAACTGATGCAAGTGCCCCAGCGAGAATCTGTCATTTCACGGATCTAGTTCTGTTTGCAGTAATGCGATCGCATTACTGCACATAATTCGCGAATCATATAGCTTTACAGGAAATTGTGTGTTGATGGGATTATATTGTGTCTAGGGCAGTACAATTATTTTACCAATTTGTGACAAATTGTGCGTCAATGTGTGTGCAAGTTGGAACGTCGTAACCTCTTCACATATTACTTCAGAAATTCGTTAACTCACTGCCTTCTTAGCCAACCGCATCCCAGTAGCTATTTCGTCCTGGAAAACGGGATGATGAATCTTTTTATTTGGGCTTGCACCCCCTGCTCATCGATTACGATGGGAATTCTCATTCGTGCCAGCCCCCTCCACGAACATTGGATATGATATCATGATGATGCAGTATTCTAAAATCGAGAAAAAAATCCTCCAAACGAGTCCTGGTCTTCTCTGCAGGTAGAAATTCTGTCAGCCTGGCAGTCACGCACAGGTCGTTAGGTCATCGGATTCATCCAATGCCACGCATGCCTTTTGTGGCAACACCGAACGCCGAAAGCAGCCATCCGTGTATTAATCTCAACTGTGAAGAATTTTCACCAAAACGTGTGGCTCCACCAGCTGTCTCGTCTAGACAAAGCCCATGAGCACTGCTTGCAAGTGCGCCAATTGGACTACTCAAACACGCTTCTTGGCACTTTGGAATTGCTTAGACACGGGCAGATCCACAATGCGGGCGGGCATGTTTGCAAAGTCGGCAGAATTTCGCAACTGCTAACACCTCCAGCCATTCGCTCAACAAATCCCCCTCCCCTATGGCCGTGTCCAGGCACACAACCATCGCCGATGGTCACGTGCCTGGTGCATCGGACACAAACAGGCAAGCACACGGCGGACCGCAGCCACCTGGACTCAACGGGCTTCCAGGGCACCCCCCCAGCCCCTTTCTTCCCAAACCGTGCCGCCCAGCACACCAGAATCCATCACACCCCATGAGGGACCACACCAATGAGTGTGGCCCAGCACGACGGCAGCTTTTTTTTCCCGGGGTCTCACCCCCCCTCCCCGGCAGCCGCCCCACAGCTGCGCCCAAAAAATGTCCCCGGGCCCATCTCCCCCTCCCACACACCCCCTTCCCTTGACAAAACCAAGGCGGCCAAGTCGGGCGGGGACCTGCAGTGAACCTGCACCCCAAGGCACACACTTCCTGCTCCCTCCCCCTTCCCCCACGTCCCCCCCACCCCCTCACCCACCCCAGGCGGCCCCCCGGCGGGATGCAGTCGCCGATGCGCGCCAAGCTGCGGCCGCGCGTGCCCAACAACCCGCGGCCGAAACGCAAGCTGCGGCCGCTGCCACCGGAGCCACCGCCCAAGCGCCGGGCGCGTCCGCGGATGCGCAGCAGCCTCAGCGGCCTGTGCGAGAATCAGGTGCGGGGGGGAAGCTGCAGCACCGATCGCGGGGGCAGCCGGCCCGGATGGTGCGGGTGGCTGAGATGCTGGCGGTGATTTGCGGGCAGGGGGCGAAGCGGCTGGCGGGCGAGCTGGCCTGGATGGCGCAGGTGCCCGAGGCGCCGACATACCACCCCAGCGAGGCCGAGTTCGAGGACCCGCTGGCGTACATCGCGAAAATTGAGCCCGAGGCGGAGCGTTTCGGTGCGCGCTCGCGCGTGGGCGGGGCGGCCTGTGCGTGGGGGGGTAATGTACTGGGACGCCCTGCGCCGGGCGGCTTGACCGGGTCGGGTGGCTGATGGGCGGTTGGATTGCCGTGCGGGCAGGCATCTGCAAGATCGTGCCGCCTCGGAGCATGCTGGTGGGCAGGAGTAGCGCGCTGGTGAGTTGGTGGTGTGAGTTGACAGGGGGGGAGGGGGAGGGGGGGAAGGGGATAGAGGGGGGCAGCGCACCGCCAGCCCCTTTGCCCCGCCGCGGGGTGTCCTGGCTGCCTGGCGACTGTCCGGCCGCGTGGGCGGCGAAGGCTCTTCATTCGGCCAGGGCATTAGTCATGCCGGTGTGTGCGGGGGTGGTGTGCGTGCTTCGTGAGGCGAACTGCTGGGGCAAGCGCGATTAGGGAGCGGTGTGTTGGACAACACGAGGCGCAGGGAAAGGGATGTCTACCCGTGCGGTAGACAGACGACCCACTCTCTCGGTCCATTAGTCAACGCCTTGGGGACGGCGGGGGAGTCCGGTTGATTGTGTACTTGGTAGCAGCTCGGAAAGGGAAATCAATGTGAACTGATGTTGGCGAATTTTGTGGTTTTGTGACACAAAAAATTGTCAGTCGCCTCAACATCTCTCTGCACCAATGGTGGCTGGCGTGGGCATCGCTGTCAACAAAACTGTACACTACAACTGGGCCTGGTGCATGTTGCTGCCAGCGCTTGGTCATGCTCAGCATCTCCAACCCCGATTCTCCTTTCGAGCTCACACCTGGTCATCTTAAGCCAGTCAGCTGGCACGATGGTTTGCCAGTGTCAATGTGCCCTAAGGAACTCTGACCCTTGCAGAATCTCTGGCTACAGAAAGCAAAGCCACCTGTCGCAGAGTGGACAATCCTCTTGCGGGTATAGCTGTTTGTGAAACAAGTTTCAATGCCATGGAAGGCGATGTAGACGTCCCCAAGAGCAATAGGAAGCCGCAGCAAAGTCCGTTGGTGACGCTGTACTGCTGCTGCTGCTGCTCATTTGTTGTCCATTGCCTTTGCAGGAAGGGGGGAAATTTGGATTCAGCGTCCGGCAACAAAAACTCCGGGACCATAGATGGCAGAATTTTGGACACAACGACATTCTTTATGAGGCACCAAGGTGCGCTCAGCTTGGGAGGAAAGGGAACCACTGCCAGGCACTGGAGGGCACACATTCCAAACAGATGTATTTGTTGGGTGCAATTTGAAGTTTGCTTGCCTGAGAGTGAATGGTGCACCCCGCTCCTGCCTGTCATCTTGGTGGGCAGTTTGCATTGCTGAAGATATTGTTGAGGACATGATTTAGATGTGATTGGGGATATTATTGAGGATTTGCAATGATTGAGAAATGACCAAGGCAGCACCATGCAGTTGCCATTCTTGACGTGAGACAGTATTCATGCAGACTTCATCAAAATTATACTTGGCCTGGAAATGCCAGACGGTGTATGCTGGCTCAACAAAGTGTTAGAAATTGGTATGGTAGTTCTCGATGAGTGTTGTGAGTTTCCCCAGGGGCACTTTTCATCCTCTGCTCTTCTCAAGATCAGTGTCAATGAGGCTGGCTCACGCTGCAGAGTGTTGCTTGTTCATTGCTGTAAGGCGCTGCTGTGCTCCTCTGGGATTGACATCCAGTCGGATGGGGCCGTTGCTGTAGGACATACTCTTTGAGGGAGTTCATGGAGAGTGCGAATGATAGCACGATGAACCTCTTGGGCACTTCGCAACGGCCTCCTGAAAGTTTAGTGGAGGTGAGCTTGGCCAGCCACATCAAGGCAAACAGCCTTGGTGTTAGATGATGCCTTAGTGTCATGGCTCTTGAATCTGACCAGGAAACAGTACTCACAGTGTTGATGGAAGCACATCAGCTAATGACAGCTGTGGACTTTCAGGTTCATCAGGTTGTGTGCATTCCAAGCATGTGCTTTATTGCATTTGGGAAACATTCCTGTTGAACAGTGCCCTGATTCATGAAAGGAACCTCCTTAAGTCCTCCTGGCAAGTGCTAATGCATTCGCCTGCAAGAAGTTGTGGAGCAACTTGTGCAAGACTGCAGTTGCACAACAACACTGGCTGGTTGCTGTGTCCCTTGAAGCCAGTGACTGTGATTTACTGCAAGGCTTGAGAGGACCACAGCATGTAGTTTGTGCCAACTAGGCTTGCTGCAAAGTTGTCCATGTGCTTTTACTCACACTTGTGCTGCTTGTTGGCATGGATGCTTCACTGCATTGCCTGCTCGTGGGTTCTGGACTGCATCATACAGTTGTGGGTCAGTGTATGATGTCAATCTTTGTGCTGAACCCCGCCCATTTGCCAGGCCCTGTATTGGATGGAACGTGAGCGGACTGCAGGGCGTGAAATGTATGTGGACTATGGCAACGATGTGGAGGGAACTGCATTCCATGCAAAGGCCAAGGAGAATCTGGATGCCACCCGATGGAATCTTCGGGTAAGATGACTGGCCACACAGAATGATGCCCTGTGAAAGCGCCTTGATATTGGTCCTGTTGCATAGATCTCAAGCTCACGTTGGGGGCTTCATGGTGCCTACCACCATGAAAGCCTGGCGCAAGGACAGCAAAGTGTCACTGGCAAATGGAATAGACAATTGATGCACATTTCTCAAGCCCAAGATATGTGACTGGTACCTTTGTGCACACTAATGATGGGGAACAAAACAGAGCTTTTGATGCGCACCTGCCCATCATCGGCTTCAAGAAGCAGTGGCACTGTTTTGCCTGCTAAGGCAGTTTTCCCTTCGTCTATTCCAAAATGTTACATCAAACTATGAGTATCCAGGTGTCCACATATGCAGGTGCGAACCAAGCAGTTCATTGGTGCTGTTTTCGATAGTCCCTTGGTAAGCACAAGGCCTTCTTTTGTGTGAGGCACATGTTTTCTTAGCACATTGTATCGCTGTATTCTTTTTTGTGAGGCACCTTTCCACGTTTCTGCAGAAGAAGAACAAGACTCCCAATCACGCAATATGGTGTGCCTCTATGTATGACCTGCCTGCTAATTTCAAAGCACCTCACAGCGCACTCACAGGAGGTGCTTCAGGTGTTCAGTAGTTTTGCTGGACAGTATTATTGCCTTTTGGTGGACGAGTTGTACTGGTGCATTCTGCATTTGGAGTTTCACGACTGCAGTACAGTAAAAAAACACTTGTAGCGTTCGTACACTTGACATATGTATTGGCATTGATATTGGAACTGAGGTTGATGCTAATGTTGAGGTGTTGACGGTTCAATGCGTAAAATGGATGAAATGTTTGTGTGTTATTGATCTTCGGCTTCTCTGCAGTCTCATTTTGCAATCTGTAAACAGATAAGCATCACCAGTACTGGTGGGCACATGGCCTCAATTCCATCGTGAGCACTTTTCCCACATCGCCTGCCAGGCTTGGTGGCACAGGGCCAGTACTTTGGGCCCTTTTGACAGTCACAACAAAGAGCACAGACATGAATACGATCAGTTACGATCACAGTTGCAATCTGTAAACAGATAAGCGTCACCAATACTGGTGGGCACATGGCCTCAATTCCGTTGTGAGCACTTTTCCCGCACCGCCTGCCAGGCTTGGCGGCACAGGGCCAGTACTTTGGGCCCTTTTGACGGTCACAACAAAGATCACAGTCTTGAATACGATCAGTTACGATCACAGTTGAAGCAATGATATGCCACAGCCAGTCAAACAGCCTGACGTCCCTGCCTCCCATGCAGTCGCTGGGCAAGGACAAGTCGTCTGTCCTTCGCCACATCCAGGGTGACTTCCCAGGCATCACGTCCCCTATGCTGTATGTGGGCTCTCTTTTTGCCTCCTTCTACTGGCACGTGGAGGACCACTTCCTGCACAGCATCAACTTCGCCCACTGCGGGGCCACCAAGACCTGGTACGGAGTGGCGGGCTGCCAGGCCAAGGCCTTCGAGGAGGCAGTGTTTGGGACGGTGTATGCCGACAGCATACGAAACCTGGTGGAGGGCGGGGCGAGCCCGAAGGAGGCGCGGCGCGCGGCACGGACCAGCCTGCTGCGCAAGACGACTATGGTGTCGCCAAAACTGCTGCGGGAACGGGGTGAGCTACGCGGCCTGGAGCGCACGCGAGCAGACCAGTGTCTTGGAAGAATGGGAGCCAATGGATTCTGGGGGCGGTTGCTGGCATCCAAGCAGCGCCGTATTGGTTTGAGACTGTAGTCTTTTGGGTAGTTGACGTGCCCTGAACCAGAAAACCAAACTGCTGGGAAGTTTAGATCTGCAGTGTCAGTGGGCGGACGCTCCTATGTGTATGTATTGCCACTGTTGTTGCAGCGCATTGGTTTTGTTTACTGAACAAGTACTTACCACTGTTTGTCATGGCAAGATTAGGAGCCATCAAGCCGGACAGTAACCTCCTTGCCTCGATATGTGGCGTTCCTTTTGATTGAAACAGGCAAGCTACAGCATTGGGTTATGTCTATTATTGCGCCTGATAAGTAAATGCACATCATTTTTCGACAAGCAGGGCAGCTGTTGTTTTCACATTTGCACCACTTGCTGATTCGAAACAATGCTGTTGTGGGCAGGTGTCGGAGTGGTGCGGATTAGTCAAGGACCTGGAGACTTTGTTGTAACATTTCCACGGGCCTACCATGCCGGCTTCAGCCATGGCTTCAATTGCGGTGAGGCTGTCAACTTTGGCCTGCCCAACTGGTTCCCGATGGGCCAGGAGGCGACCAACCTGTATTCTAGGCTTGGATGTGGACACATAATCGCACACGAAGAGATGCTGTGCAAGGAAGCTGGCACAGGTAGGCAGTTTTCCTTTGCAAGTTTGTGTCAGTCCCCATTGCTTCTTTGTTTCAAGCTCTGTTGCATCCCTTGCTTTTGTATTCAGAAGAAAATTGGTTAGTTGACGTTTAAGAGTTGGTGCCATTGCGGGTCTACAAATTCTCAATATGAGATTGCAGTCAAAATCGTTGGCACAACCATTTTCCTGTTGCACATCCCCAATTCGCCTGTAACGTGCACTTTGCTTGGAAGGCACTGCCCTGTCTGTCTGTTGGCAGCAAAGAGTGTTTGTACATGCAATGTCAAAACGAGCTGTGCACCTTCTTGCGGGCAGCATAAGGGGCAGATGATCTGAATTCAACAGTGCAGAGCTTGTTTCTTGATATCTATGTCAATTTCACTTCAAAACACTGCAGAGGAAATGGCCATGTGCCTGAGAACCTAGAACCTGATCTCCATAATGCCAGAAAGTGCCACGGCCCATCCAGATCGCATATTTCCTTCCACGGCACTTCAGAGAGCCACCCTCAAAAGGGCAAACAGGCCACCACTCTACAGGGCAACACATTGTGTGCCAAACAAAGGTAGCCATCAAGAAGTTGTGAGCAGGATTGCGGTGTACATGAATGTTGCATGTGGAGAATCTGAAAGGAAGGCTTGCATAAAATCTGTCATTTGCTTCCCAGTGCTGCAAGCCCTGAGCACAAGGCGCGATGCAAGCGCCTACAGCTCAGAGATGGCGGTGCTGGTGGAGCTGAACACACTGCTGACACAGCTGAGGCGCGACCGCAAGAACCTAACGGGCATGGGAAGCCAGTTCAAGTGTGTGAGCCAGCCCTGCACTGAGCCCTGTGCGGAGTGCGGGCGCCACACCTTCCTCACGGTGTGCCTGGTGCCCGATCCGGAGGGTGGCGATATGCGGGCAGAGTGCCTGGAGTGTGCGGTGCGGGGGCGGCATGGGGGCCCTGCAACGGTGGTGAAGGTGTACAAAGAGCTGGAACAGTTTCAGAATCGGGTGAACAGTGCCCTGCGGGATGCTGAGGCCCACCGTTGTTGAGGGAGGGGGAAGGGGGGTGGGCTGGGGTGGGGTAGGGGGTGGGGTGTGTGCGAGGACGCCGGCATTAGTGCAGAACTTGGGCAAGAGGCAAGCGCAAGAAGCCATTTCTTTACCTTTTTTTGCAGTGGGTTGGTGCATGGGGCAAGTGTGCCCTGAATTGGGTTTGTTTGTGGGTGGTGGGCTGTTGGAGAGGGGTGGTGAGCTGGGCTGCAGGGGCAGCCAGACAGGGGGCGTGTGGGATTTTGACGACCTTGACAAGAGCGGTGGAAGCAGAAGGTCCAGCGTGCAGAGGTGTTCACATCTCAGCAACGAAATTTTGCTCCGCAGAAGTAGCTAATGCTGTAGGTAGCCTGGGAGTCGCCGTGGGTGTGGGGTGTGGCCCATCAGCAGAGATGGTGGCAGAGGATGGGGTGGTGTGAGGTGGGGTATTGCATATAGACTACAGGGAACACTATTATGGGAAACTGAAACGATGCAGTGGGTGTCGACATGTATTAGTTATTTCACATGTCTGAGTGAGTGTAAACGATGTGAGAGATGCCAAGAACTGGTGCACAGCCCTGCACCAATGTTTTCAATCCGAGAGTTTTCGTCTTCAATTCATCGCAGTATTGTGGAATTGAAATAAAGACAGTTGTGTGGCCAACGCTGTTTGCATCATGCTGTCTGGGCCACTTCCTGCATCTCCACTCGATGAAAGACGTGGCCGTTTTGGCGTGATCCCCTGCCCAATGGTCTTCTGCGCTGCTGCAATTCGCTGGTGAAAGCCCTTGAATCACAGTTGTTGATTACTGGTTTATTGTGCGACGTAATGGCAGCTGCCGTGAAGCACCAGTGCATTAGTCGGCCTCATCCCGACCATCCTGTGCTCAAAAGGAGCACAGCATGGAATTCCATGCCTCTGGTCTCAAAACTAACACCACCTTACAAAAGGCACAACAGACGAGTCCTCACCATGACGCGTTTCGCTGCGGTCTCCCTGCCCTGAATGCCTTGAATGCTGGGTCGCAGTGCCCCAAACGAGGATAGGTCGCTCGCCCACTCTTCCCGAAGCCCCTGTTTCAGCTTCAGCAGAAGTATCATCGGCAGCCAACCCCAGCCAGTAGTAACAGCCCGGGCTTGCAGTCACCGGGCGCAAATGTATCAAGGGGTCAGCAGAATCCCCTTTTTTCCCTCTTGTTGCTTTGCCCACTGGGGTGACCCTCCTTCCTTTCAACCCCTTCTCCCCTTAATTCGAAAGAAGGGAAGAAAGGGACGAAAGAGCGGAAGAAGAACTGAAATGAAGCGAACAAAGATACAACGAACAAGATAAAGCGAACAAATAAAGCGAGTAATATAGCGAATAATATAGCGGATTTAGGTTTCGTCTAAAGACAACTAGTCTAACGGACAACTGGTCTAAGGACATTACGTCTAATGGACAACTCGTCTAAAATTTCGTTGACCCGAGTTGACTCACTCATATCCACATCGCAGAAGCAGCCGGTGCCCCGGGGGCACTCACCCGTCCAGCGCATTCCCCTAACCCCAAGAACCAACTCACTCACATCCGCATTCCAGCTGAAGCCGGTGACCCGAGGGCCATCACCCGTTCAACGCATTCCCCTAACCCCAAAAACCAACTCACTCACATCCGCATTCTTGCTGAAGCCGGTGACCTGAGGGCCCTCACCCGTTCAGCGCATTCCCCTAAACCCAAAAACAACTCACTCACATGCGCATTCTTGCTGAAACCGGTGACCTGAGGGCCCTCACCCGCTCAGCGCATTCCCCTAAACCCAAAAACAACTCACTCACATGCGTGTAACTTTAGTAACTTGTGTACTCCACCACCCGGTTCCTTGTGTAGAGGTGCCCGTGAGCGTGGAGCTTCAACGCCCTTTGTCCACGAATCAATTCCCATTGTGGACTGGGGTCGCGTTGGCCTGCCTCTCCCGTCGATCCACCTTCTTGCCTAGGCGGATCTGCTGGCCCCCTCGCTGCCAATCGGCGCTGCCATTGGGTTGCCTCTCCCATCGATCCACCTCCGGCGCTTGCAGAGTCTCCGTGCTCCATGTCTGCCAGTCGCCTCTCCCTTTCGCCACCCTCCCCCGTCGATATATTTTCGCCCCTTGGAGGATCCGCCGGCTCCATCGCCGCCGATCGGAGCAGCGTTCGGCTACCTCCCCCCCCTCGATCCACCTCCGCGCCCGGTAGAATCTACGCTTTCCATAGCTGCCAATCGACGCCGCACACTGCGCAAACCGTGGCACACCCGCCAGCCACGCGCCTGGATGGGCGCTCACCCTCCCGTGCTGTCC